GTTACTTTATTTGGTTTATCTCTCTTCCTTTCTATCTACTCCCTCTCTGGCTGTCCATCTATGCATTTATATCCTCCCAGGATTTGAGGGACACAAGCCGCAGTTGTATGTGTCGTGTCTGGCATCACCAGCATCTAGATTCTAGAACATGTCAGGTGCTGGTGTTGGGGGTTCTCAGACCTGGTGGTCCCCAGGTTTGGTGATTGTCTAGGACAGTGGTTGGCAAACTGTGGCTCGGCAAACCGCGGCTCTCGAGCCACATGCGGCTCTTTGGCCCCCTGAGTGTGGCTCTTCCACAAAATACCGGCTTCTGCGCATGGGCCACGAAGCTCAATTGCACTGTACGTGCATGCCCCCACGTGGTATTTTGTGGAAGAGCCACACTCAAGGGGCCAAAGAGCCGCATGTGGCTCGTGAGCCGCGGTTTGCCGACCATGGGTCTAGGAGGACTCAGCATATAATCCTACTCACGGCTAATGTTTATTTCAGTGGGAGGACACAACACAAACTCAGCAAAGACAGAGGTGCGTGGGGCGAAGTCCAGAGGAAACCAGTGCAGGTCCCAGGACATGCTCAGGGCCCCGGCGCCGAGTTGGGACAGCGCGTGTGGATGGTGTTAGGGAAGCCCGGAGCCGCTCCCGGCCCAGGGTTTTTCCTGGGGGCTGGCCCCGGAGGCACCGCTGCCTCGCCCGTGCTGAGACTTCAGACTCCCAGAGAGAGCAGGTGCTCAGTCTAAGCCACACTGTTCACCTGCTCCAGGCACGGGGAGTCCCTCTTGTCACTTGGGGGAAATTCTGTATCAGTGTAGGGAACTCTGCCACCCAGGTTCCCTGCACCAGCCACGGGTGGACCAGCAAGCAGCCTTTCTAAGGAGAGAAGTTAGGCCTGCTGGGTAGCTCCCTTCAGCACACCATTTACCAAATGCTTAGGAACGAATGAGTCATCCCGTGTGACTGCAGGGCTGTGGAGTCACCTGAGACTCCTGGGGCCTCCTCCCTGGTCAGCAGTTCTACCCCCAGCGCCCGGAGGTGAGACTGCTCAGTACCAGAGTGAAGGCTCTGAGAAGTCCCGCATTGCAGTCCCACATTGCATTCCTCCTATCAGTCTGCCCTTCCTCCTGCCCCCAGCCCCGTGATGAGTGTGACTCTCTGGTCCCAGGTGTTGAAGCACAACGGGTCGTCAGAAATCCTCAGCAAGCTGTACGACACGGCCATAGACAAGCTGGAGGTGGTCAAGAAGGACTACGACGCCCTGCGGAAGAGGTACAATGAGAAGATTGCCATCCACAGCTCGGACCTGAGCCGCCTGGAGCAGCTGGAGGAGGAGAACCAGCGCCTGCTGAAGCAGACGGACATGCTGACCCAGCAGAGGGACACGGCCATCCAGCTGCAGCACCAGTGCGCCCTCTCCCTGCGGAGGTAGGAGCGAGGCCCCGAGGGCGGAGAACGCCACCTTCTTGGCTCGGGGGCACTGTCCTCTGGGGGCGTGTGGTTATCTGTGAGGCTCCCAGAGGCTTCCCGAGAGTGAAAGCAGCACAGCCATTGTGCTTTTTCAAGCAAAAAGTGCTTATTTCCGGGAAACGTGTTCTTGACACTCAGTGTGTCCTGGGAGAAGTTCTTCCTCTCTTGAACAACTTTGGGGTGTTCTGACCGTCCTGTTTCCTAGGGCTCCTACAAGCCTCTCCCTTCTGTCTGTCACTCACCTACCAAGTTGCAAAGTTAGTTTTCCTAGACATCATTTCTTCCGGAATTTCTTTCTTTTTTTATTAAGGTATCTAATCCATAGGGAAGTGAGCCCTGGTCTCAGTATTCTGTGAAGTACATTTCTGCAGAGTCCCAGTTCCCTGGAGCGCTCACCGCTTTCTTAGGAAAAGTGTTCTCTGGATATGAAAAGGTTTTGGAATTGCCAGGTTGCACACAGACTCAGGTGTCTGCAACTCGGGACTGCTCAGAGCGTTCACGCGGGTACTGAGCACTGGACAGAATGCAGTGTTTCCCGAACATAAGTCATCCAAGAACATACTTTTTTTCTTCTTCTTTTTAATGGAGCGCCATGCAGGATGGGTGTTCTAAGGAACACACTTTCGGGAATGCTACTCTGGATCCGCAGGCTCTTAACTTGCAGGGTTGCCCGCGTGGAAGGTACCCCCTGGCTTGGAAAGGCTGAGCTGTGCTCTCACACTAGCCTGGTGCCTTTGGGCCAGCCACTACATCTCCTTATTTTCTGTATTTGTAAAGTGAGGTGGATTAAATGACTGATGAGGCCACCTATCTCTCATATGCTGTGATTCCAGCATTAAAAAAAGAATCATGTAGCTGGACTGTGGCAGACATCTGCTGCTGTTTCTAGTAGAGCAGGGGCATGAAGTCCTCAGTTCACCTTTTGATATTTGTAAAGGCTGAGAAAAATTCCCGGTCCCGGGCACTGGTGCTCCGTGACTTCCCTCCTGGGGGTGCGGAGAGTGAGCTCACTTGAAACTTCATGGTTGACTGTCCAGCACAGCAGAGCTGACCGGGCAGGTCTCCACCCCCCACCCCCCACCCCCCATGTCCTGGCTGCCTTTCTCCCCAGGTTCGAGGCGATCCACCATGAGCTGAACAAGGCCACGGCCCAGAACAAGGACCTGCAGTGGGAGATGGAGCTGCTGCAGTCGGAGCTGACGGAGCTGAGGACCACCCAGGCGAAGACGGCCAAGGAGTCGGAGAAGTACAAGGAGGAGCGGGACGCCGTGTACAGCGAGTACAAGCTCATCATGAGTGAGCGCGACCAGGTCATCTCCGAGCTGGACAAGCTGCAGACCGAAGTGGAGCTGGCCGAGTCCAAGCTCAAAAGCAGCACGTCGGAGAAGAAGGCGGCCAGCGAGGAGATGGAGGCCCTGCGGCAGGTAGGTGGCTGGGCACTGGCCTCCCAGACTCTGGCAAAGCGGCGAGGGAGGGAGGGCTGCGGTGCACATGGTGTCCAGCGAGCAGCCTGCTCCCCAGTCGGAGTGAAGAGCCTCTCCTCTGAGGCCTGCGTGCTGGCTGGGTCGTGGGCGCTGCAGGAGACGGCTGCGCTCGCTGTGCTCAGTGCCTGCTCTGATCTGTGCCACAGGGATGCGAGGGGAGGTCCAGCCGTGGTCTCAGCCTGCACAGCTCACAGTGTAGGAAGAAAGTCAGGCGACACGCCCAGACACGCGTGTGCTCCATGCACAGACACTCTCACCCTCAGACGCTTGGCTAAGTCATTGTTGGTTAGTCTTGTGCTGAAAGTCAGCAGATATCCCAAAGACGTGCTCATTAAGGAACAAGTTCCCAAGGCCAACTTCCCAAAGCCATCGGTACCTTTGGCTAGTGAGTCAGAAGGGCACCCTCAGGGCTCTTCCTCCCCGTATCTGAGGGGTCACTCTTTAGGGGCAGCCGGCTCCTGCTGGGGAGATGGTCTGCGAGACTGTGCCGAGGCCCCTCTACAGTCTTGCTTCCTGGGGGACAGGCCTCTGGGGCTGGGGGCCTGGGGGTCACTAGCATTAGAGTCAGACCACTTAGCCTGGCTCCTGAGGGATGGGTCAGTGTGGACCCTCGGCCTCATCGCCGACACCCCTCACCCCAAGTGCAGATGTGTCCTGCCGGCTCCCTGATTTGAGGTTCCCTCCCCATCCTGTCGGTCAGTGTGTGGCTGTTTAGACCTGCTGAACTTGACCATAGCAGACTTTCCCCCATTGAAATGCCTCCCTGTTCTCTTCTGTGTAGGTTGTTAAAGGTTGGGCGCGTTGGCAGGGGATGGCGGGCATTGGGTTGTGGGAGCTGGAGCCCGTGGACCAGCACGAGGCCGGGCTGATGCCTGAGGAGTGGCCAGGGCCCTGTGGGGCTCTCTGTGGACAGTGACATCTCCTGATGCCCAGGTAGTGCGGGGGGCCATGGATGCCAGGGGCACAGGCCCTGTGCTTGGAGTGGGCCTTCTCAGTCATGTGACCTCATATATTTCGGGGCCTCAGTTTCCTCCTCTGCAAAATGGACATGATAATGGATAGCATCTACCTCACGTGGCTGTGGCGACCACATGATTTAATATTGAAAACGGACTTAGATTAGTGCCCGCACCAAGTAGGAATGATTTGAATCTTTGTTATTAAGATGATTATTAGCTACTCTGTCAGGAACCCTGGGGAAGTGCTCTGTAGGCAAAAATGGGCCAACTAATGGCAATTTCATATCCAGGGAGTGAGACTTTTCCAGACTGTCAAGGTGAAAGCCGTTGTGAAAAGGAGAGTTTACTTTGATGAATTTTTTAAAAGACCGTGATGCAGGAATTTCTAATAAGCAAATAGAATGTATTAGAACATGGTAATTGTCCTAGAAAAACTATCAACTCATGGTTTTCACACTCCGGCCTCTGAGAACTTAATGGCTGGGGAAATGTTGTTATCAAATAAGGGGAAAAAAAATGATGAAGAGGAAATCTTCGAAAATGACTGAGCCAGTCGGTCACTACACTAGAAAGTCAAGGCCGATGTATCAGGCACAGAAGAGATGAGGCCGGGAGAGGACACGGCCCACGTGGAGGGGATTTTGAAACTAGGAGGTTAACCATGCCCTTTGTAGGAATGTGGAAAGCACCGCGAAGTATGAAGAACCGCCGACTTCCGAGTGCTGGCATCTGGTGGCAGCCCGGCCCCCACTGCCGCACTCAGGCGTGCCCTCCAGCCTGGAGCCCAGCTCCGGCTTCGCAGGGGGCATTGGCTGGGTGTCAAGTCCGCCTGTCAGCTGAGGCAGGAATCTTTTCTAGGCACCGATCCAGCCAGCAGGCAGGAGAGCCCCCGCCCCCACTGCCACCGGGGCAGGCTCCGGAGCTGAACCGCTCAGTCCTCCTCTGCTCTGTGTGGCTTCTCCAGGACCACGTCCCCACTCCCCCGAGTGGGCCATTTTGGCTCTAAGGTGTGGGTGGGAGGCTCTTAATCTCCACGGGGCCTGACGGGACCGCCCGTGTGGGCTCTGCCCTTAGGCCTTTCTCCTTGGCCTTAGGTCTAGGGCGTGAGTGTCCTGTGAAAGCCAGCCCATCCCTTCCTTAGCCTGTTGCCCCAAGGCCACCCCGGGGGCCAGAGGAGATCATGGGTGGTGCTTTTGCAGAGTGAGACCTGCGTGGTGTGGAGGAAGAAGCCCAGGGGCAAGAATCTTGGAGACCTGGGGTGTGGGCTCAGCTCCCCCAGGTGGACCTCGGGGAGCAGTCACTTCCTGGACCCTGAGGGTCCTCATTGGTGTAATCAGGGGCTCAGACAAGGGACCTCAGCTTCAGTTCTGTTGCCCTTTTATTTATTTATTTATTTTTTAATTTTATTTATTTATTTTATTTTTTTTAAATTATACTTTATTGATTTATTACAGAGAGGAAGGGAAAGAGATAGAGAGTTAGAAACATCGATGAGAGAGAAACATCGATCAGCCGCCTCCTGCACACCTCCCACTGGGGATGTGCCCACAACCAAGGTACATGCCCTTGACCGGAATCGAACCTGGGACCTTTCAGTCTGAAGGCTGACGCTCTATCCGCTGAGCTAAACCCGGCTATGGCTCTGTTGCCCTTTTAAAGATACCTTATTCCTCCTCTCCCCTCTCAATAAAACCCAGTATTGTGCTTCCGGTGTTTCTCTGAAGGAAACTGTTTTGGAGGTGTTTGAGACGGGGTGCGGGGGGTGGGGGGTTGGGGCGGGGGGAGGCACTGCCTGATGCCCTGGCGTTGGTCTCTCTGTCTCTACCTCCAGCCTTCAGCTCAAGATGCTTATCCGGGGCCAAAAGGAAAGACCTTTCATTGAAACCACATGTTAACACGTTTCCAATAGAAAACTATGTTAATGTAAAACATTGAGTAAAATATAAATTTAAGAAATCGTTATTAGCCCTACCCGGCTTGGCTCAGTGGATAAAGCGTCAGCCTGCGGACGGAAGGGTCCCGGGTTCGATTCCAGACAAGGGCACATGCCTGGGTTGTGGGCTCGATCCCCAGTGCGGGGCAAGCAGGAGGCAGCCGATCAATGATTCTCTCTCATCATTGATGTTTCTATCCCTCTCTCCTTCCTTTCTCTCTGAAATCAATAAAGAAATATATTTTAAAAAAAGGAAACGTTATTAAACCTAAGACTTACTACAATAAATTCATGCTAGAATGAATAAAAATAATTGTTTTTTTAAATATATCAAACTAAACAAATACTCGGCACTGCATGAAAGTGGGAAAGATGAAAACTGAGGTCATTTGGCTGACTTGGTCCCGGGAAGTGTGTCTCAGCAGCGTGACACTGCCCCTCTCTCTCGAGTTAAGGGGTTATTTTTGTGCAGGTCCCCCCCCCCCCCCCCGCCCCCAGCTCCCTCTGACGCTGGACGTGAGAGATGAGGGGGAGTTAGAAGCCGACTGCACACGTTTCCCTGTGTCTCCCTCATCCTCGCCTCTTGGCTGAACCTGTGAGGTCTCGGGCGTGTTGCAGCGGAGGCGCGTTGCTGTCTGCCGTGGGGCCGGGGAAGCCTGGGTGTGCTTGTCTTCCTCACGCTTGTCACTCCGAGGCGGAGATGCAGGGTCTGTTCCTCTCCTTCAGGAAGCCTGTGAGCTAGAGGAGGAGTAGACACTTGCTTTATCGTCTCCCCGTGTTTTCTAAGGATCAGAGGGGCACAGGGGGAGCTTTCCATATGAGCGCTTCTAAGGGTTGGATTTGAATTTCAACGGAGCATGTAATGCTCCGGGGAGGTGTCAGGATGCAAATGCTTCAGATTTCAGCTTTTAAATCGAACTGAGACACACAGGCTTCACCGCCAAAACACTGCTGCCTGTTCAGACTGGAAAGTCACCCAGGATGCTGGAGTACGAAAACCAGAGAACAGGAACAGTGCTGCTGCCCGTCGGACATGGTCCTGACCAGGACCTCTACCTGCACTGCACTTGGGCCTTACTTTGTTATGTGTTGTCACAGGAGCACTGTATTTTTTATTTTTATTTAAAAAAATTATTTATTTACTTATTTATTTCAGAGAGGAAGGGAGAGAGAAACATCAATGATGAGAGTGAATCATTGATCGGCTGCCTCCTGCACGCCCCCACTGGGGATGGAGCCTACAACCCGGGCATGTGCCCTGATCAGGAATCGAACTGTGACCTCCTGGTTCATAGGTTGATGCTCAACCACTGAGCCACGCGGGCAGGGCTCACAGGGGCACTTTAGAGCGACATGGTGGCTCCCTGTGAGCTACAAGCCACGTAAGTGGCAGGGTGGAGCCTGGAGCGAGCCCTCCAGGGGAGACGGTCCACCTGGGCCACTGAGACCTTGGCTGAGAGAGACGGGGGTTCTAGTCCAGGCACTGTGTGGAGTTGTGAGAGTTTGGACTTAGTCTAACGTCACTAGGGGTCTGAGCATGGCTGTGGGGCGCAAGGACACCGGGAGGCAGGGACGCAGCAGGGGGGTGGAGGGGTGGGCTGTGGCTGGGACCCCAGTGTTCCCCTCCATCTGGCTCCAGAGAGTTCAGCCCAGCCCCAGCTCCTGTCAGGCGGATGGTACTTCCGAGCCAGAAGGCCAGTAACCTCCTCCTCTGCTGGCCCTCGTCCCACCAGATCAAAGACACAGTGACAGTCGACGCCGGGAGAGCCAACAAGGAGGCCGAGACCCTTCGAAAGCAGTGCAAGGCTCTGTGCCAGGAGCTGAAGGAAGCCCTCCAAGAGGCAGACGTGGCCAAGTGCCGGCGGGACTGGGCCTTCCAGGAGCGGGACAAGATCGTGGCCGAGCGGGACAGTATCCGGTACGGTGCCCTGGGCGGCGTGGGCTCGGGCCCCCCTGGCACACGGGGTCTGTGGGGAGGGCCGCAGTCATTTGCCACGGGTCCGGGTAAGGCGAGAGTGGCTGGCTTCTTCCCTCCTCTCCCTGGGTGATGCCCCACTCGCCTCAGAGCATTAGAATTCCACACGTCTGTGTGTCGATGGCACTTCACCCAGGTCCCGTGGGCACTGAGACCCAGCGGAGTGGCCCGAGGCCAGGCTGGTTTCTCAGGGGGCTGCTGATGACACTGACAGTCAGAGCTGCGTTCTCCCAGGAAGTATTAATGGGGCACCTACTGTGTGCCAGGATCTGAGGTTCCTTGAGCAAGGAGATCCTGGGAGACAGGTGTGATGCCTGTGGGGGCCACGGGCAGCTCTGCCAGCCAGGGCAGAGGGGAAGGAGGATGCATGAATGGAATTCCAGAGCCGTGGGGTGTCACTGGGCAGGGGGAGCAGGTGGGGAGTTTCCCCAGAAAGCATGGAGTTCGAGCGAGAATGCAAGCATGAGTGGGCTTTTCCCACAGGGGGCGGGCTTGGCGGCCTGAGCGACCATCATAAGCAGAGGTGTGGTGTGGAGGCAGGAGGACATGGTGTGACTGGAGCAGGTCTTGCACTTGGAGTCGGAGGAGGCAGCTGACTGTGTCCTGAGGGCAGTTCTAAGGGCCTGAAAGGATCCCGGGAGTGGATTCCACTGGAGGGAGAGCTAGGAGAGGCTGTGGGGTGGGGTGTTGGTAGTGAGCAAGGACTTGGTAATTGAGAGTTTCTGAAAGATCCCTGTGGCCTTTTGAAGGAGAGACTGATGTCCATGCAGGCTGGCCAGGAGGTGAGGGTTCAGGTGGGGGGACTTGGGGCCATGGAGGGGGGTACCAGCTCTCAGGGTCCTTCCAGTGGCAGGGGTGGTGCTGGAGGTGGCATGGAGCACAGACTCCCTGCTGCCACGCTGCCTGTCCCCACCTCCTCTCTGAGGAGCCGAGGTGGTCCTGAGGTCCTGGCAGCCACATGTCCATTAGCAGAGCTGTCCAGCCTGCACCTGCGCAGAGCTCAGGCCACAGAGAGGCACGAGGCACGATCCTGTCTGGTCGTGGGGTGGGGGCAGCTCTGAGAGGCCTCATGTGGGTTGTCAGGCATCTGGTTGGTGCTGGGCACAGGGCCTGCTGGGTGGGCCGGGGGAGGGTGGTCATTAACCCCCAGCACATTGAGGGTGAGGCCCTGGGATGAGCACTGGATGTTGGAACCCAGTGCTTGTTGCGTGCTAACTCCGGGGGGGGGGGGGGTCTCTTTTCCTGGGTCCTCAGTGTTGCCTCTGCCCCTCAGTGGGGTTGGCCTTGACGGCCTTACTTCAAACTCTCAAATATTCCTGTGCCTCTGGGGGCGAGGCAGGGGCCTGGGGTTCACTGGAGGGCGGGAGTGCTGCGCCCCTCACCCCTCATGGGGACCCTGCCCTGTGCCCCTCTGCCAGGACGCTTTGCGACAACCTGAGGCGGGAGCGGGACCGGGCAGTGACGGAGCTGGCGGAGGCCCTGCGCAGCTTGGACGACACTCGCAAACAGAAGAATGACATCAGCCGGGAGCTCAAGGAGCTCAAGTAGGCTGGGGTGGGCGCCTGCCCGGGCTGCGTGTACCTGGGAGCGAAGTGCCCGCCCTCCTCTCAGGGCAGGGCCTGGCCATCTGTTCCTTCTCTCTGCCTTATTCTGTCAATCTGTAGAATGGGTCCAAATGCTGCCTCCACGTGCAGAGCTAATTAGAAATTCTTAGACCAACCGAGAAGTGGCCTGTTGGTGAGCACATGGAGGTGTGCACTGTGTGCAAAGGCGTATACGAAGGAAGGGCCTGCTCCAAGGCAGCCCATCTGGGCGCAGGCGAGCATGCATTGTCCACTCCTTCCCTCCCTCCCTCCCTCTTTCATCAACTGAACCTGCCCTGGGTCAGGCCTGTGGGAGGCACAGGGGAGACGGCTGAGTAGGCCGGCCAGGTCCCTGCCCTGTGGGGCTCACAGCACACAGGCCCGTCAGAGAGACACGTACTAAAGGAACAGCGTGATGACGGTTGTGGTGCTCACAGGCGGTTGTGACCACCACTCCCAGTCTGTCCTGCTGTGTTACTCGGAGGCCCATCTGGAAGAGGCTGTTTGGAATGTAAGACAACCCCCCTCCGTGACAGCAGAGCTCCCAGGGTGTCGTTTAAGCCTTGGTGACTCTAAGCAGTAGATTGAAAATACAAATATCAAAGGTCAAAGAGAGAAATTGCAGAGCCCAGGAGCCATCACTGCAGCCGAGGACCAGATTCTGGTTGAGGAGCAGCGGCTCTGTCTGTGCCAGGAGCTTCCAGTGATGGAGGCGAGAGGCAGGGGAGTGGGAGTGTGCCAGCCCTGCCCACTGAGCTGTGCCCTGAAGGGAGTGCAGCCTCCCCTTCCCCCTCAGTGACATCTAACGTAAGACGAGCACTTCATTATTAGATGGAAACCTGGAGCCTCTGGGCTTGAGTGCTCTAAGGAAAACCTCAGAGGTTGCGAAGCGACAGTCTCTCCAGGGACCCACATCGGATCTAGCAAGTGATGGAATCAAATGAAGGTGCAGCCTAGACCCCCTGGGGCTTCAGTACAGGAGGAGGTTTCCATTCTCGTGGCGCCAGGTTGCTGGGCCCTCTGAAGAAGTCAGCTTCCTTTGCTTGTCAGCACATTTGTATCTGCACCTCCTTTCCACTGAGTTCTCACCGGGGATGCTGGGGATGGAGTCCGCGCTGCTGCACAGGAAGCCTCCAGCCTGCAGAGCAGCAGAGGGGCCCAGTGGGAGGGAGGAGAGGAGTGCAGTCAGATTCAGTGCCCAGCTTCAGGCTACACAGAGGTGGGCTGGGCTGGGGCGGGGCCCAGGGAGGCTGAGTGGCATCTAGAGCTGGCCAATGAGAGCACAGCCCAGCCAAGGTGTGGTCCTGGAGCTGTTCACGGGCAGGAAACAAAAGTCAGTCCAGAGTCAGTCCAGAGTCAGCCAGGAGCCCTGGGACAGGGCTAGTGAACTGGGAAGGTGGTCTGGGCCCAGGTTTTAGGAAGAAGGGCATTACATGCAAGTGTTAGGAAAGGTTTCTGACTCCTTTTTTTCCCTCTTAACAGGGTCTTTCTGAGAGCTTAAGTTTTTATTTTGATCAAGTCCAGTTTATTGATTTTTAATTTTTTTATTTCAATGCATTATGTTATATCTAAGAACCCTTAACCTAGCCCTAGATCTTGAAGATTTTTCTCTTGTATTGTCCTTCTAAAAGTTTTACAGTTTATTTAAAAAAAAAAAAAAATATATATATATATATATATATATATATATATATATATATAAATAATTGACTTCAGAGAGGAAGGGAGAGGGAGATAAACATCAGTGATGAGAGAGAATCATTGATCGTCTGCCTCCTGCACGCCGCCTAGTGGGGATTGAGCCCACAACCTGGGCATGTGCCCTGACCAGGAATCAAGCTGTGGCCTCCTGGTTCATAGGTCAATACTCAACCACTGAGCCACACCAGCCGGGCTATAATTTTTTTTTACATATAAATCTGTGATGCATTTTGAGTTAATTTTTAAGTAAAGTATGGTGTTCAGGTTGAGATTCTTTTTTTTTCCATGATGTTCAGCGGCTCCATCATTAGTTGAAGACTACCCTTCCTCTGTTCCCTTATGTCTGCACCTTTTGTACTTGGTGGAGCTGCTTCTGGATCCTTCCTTCTGTTTCATTGATCTGCGTGTCTCTCTTCCTGGCGGTTCCTCTCAGCCTCGAGTCTGTAGCTGTAGAAAAAGTCTTACATTCGAGTCGAGTGTTTCTCCCACCTAATTCTTCGTTTTCTAAATTAGTGTAGCTGTTCTACTTTTTTGCCTTTCCCTGTAAACTTTAGAGTCGTCTTGTCTGTACCTATGAAAATGTCTTGTTGGCATTTTCATAGAACTGCATGAAACTTCTAGATAAATGTGAGAAGAATTTCTGAGTCTTTTAAAAATAAGTATAAAAACCCACTGAAATCCAAGCAGCCTGGGCCTGGCGCTGCGGATTTGTTGGGCAGCTGGCGTGAAGGACAAGATGAAAGCCCATTGGCTTTGAGTGGTCCCCCTGGTTTCCAGGCTGTGACTTGGGTGGGATGTTTCGCCTCTCACAGGGCCATGGCCATGGCCGTGGCTCCCTCTCTTCACAGGGACCAGATGGAATCCCAGCTGGAAAAGGAGGCCCGATTCCGGCAGCTGATGGCCCACAGTTCCCACGACTCAGCCATCGACACAGATTCCATGGAGTGGGAAACGGAAGTTGTAGAGTTTGAAAGGGAGACGGTGAGCTTCCTTCGTGTCTTTTCTGCCCGTTCTCCTGACATGAAGACTTTGGCTGCCCTCTCCCAGTGTCCCAGGGTCCCCGTGGCTAGTGTGGAGGCTCAGCTTTTCCTCCCGGGGCGCAAATGCATCCTTTCCCTGCACCTGCGCCCGCTGGGTTACAGCAGATAGTTTCCTGAGTCGCCTGGCGGATGCTGACACGGCACACGGAACAGAGAGGGAGGAGCCGGGCCCCCAGGGGTGATGCTGGTGGCGACGTGTATCTGAGTGGCTGAGAGGGGCAGGTGGTAGCAGCTCAGAGGCTGCTGCTTGGGGCCCAAGTGCCCCGTCAATCATGGCGAAGGGACAGTCCCACAGTCGAGTGAGTGGCTTGGGGTTTACAGCCACGTGCTTCTCATCACTGCTTCGTAAAGTGTGCGGCGGCTGCTGCTGTTTCGACAGGAGGACATTGACTTGAAGGCACTGGGGTTCGATATGGCGGAAGGTGTGAATGAGCCTTGTTTGCCCGGGGACTGCGGCATATTTGTCACTAAGGTGGACAAAGGAAGCATTGCAGACGGCCGCTTACGGTAAGAGTTGAGGAAGCCCAGGTTCTGAGGGAGGGTGGGCCCCCCCTAATGAGGGAGGGTGGGCCCCCCCTGGCTTAGTGAAAGGCCCCGGAGGCCAGGCGGCAGTTAAATGAATGCATCCCGGTTGCGTTTCTGGGTAGAAAAGGGCTCAGGCCGCGTGTGAGAGCGTATGATGTGCGTTGCATGCTCATTCCATGAAATACCAATGATGAGAAAATAGTGCTTACTGTGTGCTCATTGCTGGTTTAAGTACTTTAAATAATTCATTAATCCTTACAATCCTGTGAGGTAGGTGCTACCCCATTTTACAGATGGAGACACTGAAGCCCTGAGGGGTTAGGTCACTCAGCTGTAGGTGGTGGAGCCAGGACTTGACCCCGGGCAGCCTGGCTCCAGCACCTGTGAGCTTAACCGTTTGGCCATCCTGGAAGGACCTGCTTTCTGGCATTCGGCTCCCCGGATGGGAACAGTTGAGCACACTGGTCCCAAGGCCTGCGTGGGCGCTGAGCGGGCTGTCCTCCGCAGGGTCAATGACTGGCTGCTGAGGATCAACGACGTGGACCTCATCAACAAGGACAAGAAGCAGGCCCTCAAGGCGCTCCTCAACGGGGAGGGGGCCATCAACATGGTCGTGCGGCGGAGGAAGTCCCTGGGCGGGAAGGTGGTCACGCCCCTGCACATCAACCTGAGTGGACAGAAAGGTAGCGGCCCATGACGAGGGCAGATGCTTCAGATGGCAGGGGTCCTCTCCTTGTGTTTTCGGGCGCACTTCATGCCCAGGGCTGAGGTGCTGATGCTGCTTGAATGCAGCCCATGTGCTCCCCCGACGTGGGGCCTCTGGGTCCTGGGTCCTGTTTGTCTGAGTCCCTCCCCAGAGCCCACGTGACTGAGCACCTGGGTGGTCTGGCCTGGGTGGGCGCTGGGATGGACAGGCGCTTTGTAAGAGCGTCTCCCAAAGATGAGGCGGGACAACCAGGGGCCATGCGACCTGGGCGGGGTTAACTGGGGACACCTGTGTCCGCCCTGTGGTCGACAGACAGTGGCATCAGTCTGGAGAATGGAGTGTATGCTGCCGCCGTGGTGCCCGGAAGCCCCGCCGCCAAAGAGGGGTCTCTCGCCGTGGGGGACAGGATTGTGGCGGTAAGTCTCCAGGATGGGCCGTCCGCTGTGCGTATGGACAGTTAGATTCAAATTTGGGAGGTATGAACAAGACGTAATGAACACAGTTTTTATATTCGCCTTTTTCTTTTAAATGTAAACATTTAAATGTGATTTCCCCCCCTTCTAATAGTATGTTTCTATTTCCTAGAAAATTCAGAAGTACAGAAAAGGTTTAGGAAGGAATAGATAACCTTTGTTCACATTTTCACTGTATTTCTCTACAACCTTTATTCTATACTAGTGGCCCGGTGCACGAAATTCGTGCACTTGGGGTGCGGAGGGGACCTCAGCCCAGCCTGCCCCCCTCTTGCAGTCTGAGAGCCCTCAAGGGATGTCCAGCAGTCGGACGACATCCTTAGCGCTGCCACGGAGGCGGGAGAAGCTCCTGCCACCGCCGTTGCACTTGCCAGCAATGAGCCCGGCTTCTGGCTGAGCAGGGGGGTGCACTGACCTCCATGGGGCAGCTCTTGCGTTGAGCATCTGCCCCCTGGTGGTCATTGCACATCATAGTGACCAGTTGTTTTGCCGTTCAGTCAATTTGCATATTAGCTTTTTATTATATAGGATATGAAGGCATAGTGAGGCCAATTAAAAAAAAATAAGTTTTTAGAAATCTTTTTCATTTAATATTTTATCCATTTCTTGTAATATTTCTTTTTTTATTACCAAAGTAAGACTCTTTTGCGGTAAAATATTCAAGCGATACCAACGTGTGTAAAGTGGTGGCCCCCTCTCCCTGTAATCATGCTCCTGGAGGCATCTCTACCCCTTTTGGGATGTGCTCCCAGCCAGGCCTCAAGTGCTCGCACAGATCCGTGTGCACAGATGGGGGTGTTTGGGTTTTGTTTGCTTTTTACAATACAATAATGGGACCATCTTATGTTATCCGCCATTTGCCATTGTGGATATCTTTCTAAGTCGGTCCTTACTGTTTTTGTCCACCTCGTGGTGGTCAGCTGTTTGACCATCTGTAGTTTACATTATCCCACAACTGATGGACATAGGAGTTGTTCTCAGTTTATGCCATTGCAACAGCCCTGCATGGACGCACCTGTGTGCAGCAGCCACTGTGGGGAGACTTAGCAGATCCCTGGTGACCACACCCGCAGTGAGCAAGGGGCTGAGTCATAGGGCAGCACACTTAGTCTTTGTCAGTAACTCTTTAAAAGTGAAGGCAATACTCGTATGCACCCCCCGTCTCCCCCCTCCCCCCCCCAAAAAAATTCCAGTCTGCGACTGGCACAGTGGCAGGAACTCCTCCAGTTCTGGACACCCACCGACCAGTTCCCAGCGCTGGCAACCATGGTTAACAACTCACTGTGTTTTCTTCCAGAAATGTTCAAAACATGGGCATCTCCCACTTAAACACACACACAGATGGGATCATCACAGACCGAGCTGCTAGCCTTGTTTTGCTTGTGACGCGTGTCCTGCGCTGCTTCCTCGCTGTGTCTGGGTTCTGGGTCCTGGGTCCTCACAGTAACTGCCCGTTCCTTAGCGGCAGCAGCACAGGCTGTTAGCTGCGCCCCCAGTGGAAACTCGGGGCATCTTTGCCTTTACAAGTCGTGCTGCGTGGCGCGTGCTGCATCCTTCCTTCTACGGGCCCCCCGAGAGTGTGCCACGGGGTTATCCCTGGGGCGGGGAACTGCTGGGTCAGATAGGCGTTTAACATTTGAGACGACCCTCCCCTGTGCCCGCTCAGGCCCTGGCCTTTCAACCCACCTGCAGTGTGCGTGGGAGCTCCTCTCCTCACAGCTTTGCCGGTGTTTTTCAGATTTGGGGGCTCCAGATGTTAAAAGCAATATGGCCATTGTGAAAAATTTCAAGATATGGAAAATTAATCCACCACTCTAAAATAATCCCTCTGCGTATATTTTTTAAGCTTTTGACCTTGAAATAATTACATAAATAATTATAATTCAGTTATAATATTTCATAACTAATATTTAAAAAGTAGTAGAGGGAGGTTCCTATATACCCTTCACCCAGTTTCCCTAATGGTTATATCTTACATAACTGTAATATTAAAACCAGGTAGTTGATATTGGTACAGCGTGTGTATTTAATTCTATGTCGTCTTATCATGTTTAAGTAACCAAAAGAAATCAAGGCAGAACTGTTCCATCACCACAATCTCCCTCATGTTACCTGTTACCCCTCTATAGTGACACCCACACCCTGCTCCCCCATTCAGAAACCCTGGCTACTAGTTTGTTCTCCATCTCTGTGCTTCTTTCACCTCGAGAACGGTAGATGAGTAGAATGGTACAGTGTGTGGTTGGCTGTTCTGCCTGCACGGGGCTGTGTTCCTTCCCGCTGCTGGGTGTCATGTTCCTGGAGGGGGTGCAGCCTGGTCTGACTGTTTGCTTGTTGCTCATACACTTTTTCTAAGATTGGAGCACATCCAAGAGGGATGTGGACGGAGTTCAGGCAGAAGCGGTGGTGGTGTTTCTTTGTGAACAATGACGATACTTCATCTCACGTGGCACTTTCTAGTTTACAAAGGCCTTCCACACCCTGGCTGCGTTTTTCAGTCTCCCTCCCGCCCCTGGGGGACTCATGTGTTTATCTTCCAATTTGTGCATGAAGGAGTTCCAATTCGGGTCCAACCTGACACAGCAGGAAGCAGAGCTGGCTGTCCCTGGTGTCCTGGTCCAAGTCAGACACACATCTTCTTGTAGAGTGAGCTCAAGGCTGTGTGGTCCACGTGCCATGGAAGCCCCTTCCCTGGATTCCTCAGGCCGTAGGGGCGGGGCTGTCTCCTCCGCCAGCTTCAGACTTGGGGACCTTACAGAACCAGCCCACTGTCCAGCCTGGCTGGCAGGCGGGCAGAGCACGGGTCCTGGCGGCGGGCCTGACAGGCTCTCTGTTTGGCCCTAGATCAATGGCATCGCACTGGACAACAAGTCTCTGAATGAGTGTGAGTCTCTGCTGCGTAGCTGCCAGGACTCCCTGACCCTCTCCCTCCTGAAGGTAAGGGTCCCGCCCGCCGTCCCTGCTCTTTCCCTGCTCTCGCAAAGTCCCAGCTCCACTGCTCTGTGTCACTGGAAAGGGGGTATTGATTTACGACGTGCAGGGAGTGCATGAGCCCCGACCAGAATCTGCTTTAAAAACAAAAGTTAAAAAAAGCTCTGAAGGGTGTTTTGGGGGTAGTGGGGTGCATTTGAATCTGGATTGAATAATTAGTTGATCCTAAGGAATTGTAGATTTTCGTGGGTACAGTGACAGTATTGGGGTCACCTAGGAGAATGACCTTAGTTTTGGAAAGTACGTGATAAAGTTGTTAGGGATGAATATTGTAACTTACTTTCAGATGTTCTGCAATATTGACAGATATAGTCATCGATGTTTCTAACTCTCTATCTCTCTCCCTTCCTCTCTGTAAAAAATCAATAAAATATATTTAAAAAAAAAATAATTAGTTGATCCTAAGGAATTGTAGATTTTCGTGGGTACAGTGACAGTATTGGGGTCACCTAGGAGAATGACCTTGGTTTTGGAAAGTACGTGATAAAGTTGTTAGGGGTGAATATTGTAACTTACTTTCAGATGTTCTGCAATATTGACAGATATAGACAGTTTTTAAAAATATTGTTAAATCTAAATGGTGGGTGCTCGCTTCGGCAGCACATATACTAAAAATTGGAACGATACAGAGAAGATTAGCATGGCCCCTGCGCAAGGATGACACGCAAATTCGTGAAGCGTTCCATATTTAAAAAAAAAAATCTAAATGGTGGGTTTATGAGTATTCATTGTACTTTTCTATCAACTCTTCTACATAATTGAAAATACTGATTAATAGAAAGTTGGAAAAATAGGTCCATCTACTTCATTAAGCAAAGTTTTGCAAATTTATTTTAAAATAACAGACTTTTTGAGGAGTAGTTTTAGGTTTACAGGAAAGGTGCACTAGTGTAGAGAATTCTCATATTCCCCCCTCTGCTTTCCCTGTTAGTAACATCTTGCATTCGTGGGGTTCATTTGCCACGATGTTAGCACATTAATATTAACTAAAGTCCATGGTTTACATGAGGACTTACTCTCGGTGTCGTACATTCTGTGGGTTTGGACAGATGTGCAAGGACATGTGTCCCCCACTGCAGTGTCACACAGCGTGGCTTTGCCGTGACGAACGAAGCTCCTCCGGGCTGCACCGCCCATCCCTTTCTCTCTCGCCCTGTCCCTGGAGACCATTGATCTTTTCATCATCTCCATTGTTCTGCCTTTTCTAGAATGTCTTCTCGTTGGAATGTAGCCTTCCCAGGTTGGCTGCTTCCACTTAATGATGTGCATTTAAGTTTCCTACATTTCTTTTCACGGCTTGATAGCTCATCTCTTTTATTGCTGAGTGATATTCCATTACGTGAATACTAAAAGACATGTATTGTTAATAATGAATCTTCTTTTACTTAATAATATTAAAAAGTATGCGGGGCATTATACAGGTGATTTCAGAAAGTGCTCAAAGTCAAGAGCACGTACGACTCTCCTGTGGGTCCCAGTGAGCAGGGCTGTGAGAAAGCCCCCAGTCAGGGAGAGGATGCGTGTGTGCGTGTGTGTGTGCGTGCATGTGTGTGTGTGTGTGTGTGTGTGTGCCTGCTTTCTGGGGTGTGTGGCCCATTTCTGGCCGTTGCTCTACCTGCAGGGGCAGTTTCAGTGGCAGCCCCAGGTTCTGTGGTCTTCTTCTCTCTTCCTCACTCCTCCGTGGTTCCTACGTAGGTGTTCCCTCAGAGCTCTTCATGGAGTGGCCAGAACATCTTTGAAAACATCAAGGACTCTGATAAGATGCTGAGTTTCCGAGCCCACGGCCCAGAGGTCCAGGCTCAGAATAAGCGGAACCTGATGCAGCACAACAACTCCACACAGACGGACATCTTCTGCACAGACAGGCCGGAGGACAGGAAGGAGCCGGGCCCCCCAGGCGGTGGCAGCTCCTTCCTGCACAAGCCGTTCCCTGGGGGACCCTTCCCAGCCGCCCCCCACACGTGTCCCAGCGCCTCCGAGCGTAGCCTGAGCTCCTTTCGCTCGGATGCCTCTGGGGAGCGTGGCTATGGGCTGGGGGACATGTGTGCCCAGCGGCCACTGCTGCCCTTCGAGACTGAGGCTGGTTCCTGCGGGGCGACGGAGGCTCCCCTGGACAAGGCCGAGCCCGAGGGCCCCCACAGCGGCGGGACCTGGCCCAAGGCCGGGCTCAGCTCCGCGGCAGCGCCCGAGAAGCTCTCTGTTTACAAGAAGCCAAAGCAAAGAAAGTCCATCTTTGACCCTAACACTTTCAAACGCCCCCAGACGCCCCCCAAAATAGACTACCTGCTCCCCGGCCCTGGGCCTGCTCATTCCCCCCAGCCCTCCAAGAGGGTGGGGCCTCTGACGCCCCCAAAACCTCCGCGGAGGAGTGACTCCATTAAGTTCCAGCACAGGCTAGAAACCAGCTCGGAATCCGAGGCCACTCTGGTGGGCAGCTCCCCGTCCACCAGCCCCCCAGGTGCCCTGCCCCGCGACGTGGACCCTGGGGAACCCATGCACGCCTCGCCCCCTCGCAAGGGCAGGGTCCGCATTGCTTCCAGCTACTACCCTGAAGCGGACGGGGACTCCTCCTACCTGCCCGCCAAGAAGTCCTGTGATGAGGACCTCACCTCCCAGAAGGTGGACGAGCAGGGACAGAAGCGTCGCCGGCCAAAGTCTGCGCCCAGCTTCCGGCCGAAGCTCGCGCCAGTGGTGATCCCTGCTCAGTTCCTGGAGGTAGGGCCAGCCTGGGCTGAGGGTGGGGGCGGCAGGGGTAGCTGGCCGTCGCCAGCCTGTGCTTGGCCCTGGCTCCTTGGCTCTGAGCATCTACCTGAGGGAGGCAGGTGGATGCCAGTGGGATCAGCCTTCCTTTGCAGAGTCACGTAGATGTACACGTTCCTGGGGATATGACACCAAGAGAGAAACACGTTCTGGGGTGTAGCATTAAATTTGCTTATTCAGCAAGAAGCTTTTGAAACTGTACAACAAAACCAGGTGACATGGACCTGCCTTGAGGGCTTCAGGGAGAGAAGGTTACACAGAGACTCTTACCTGGCAGCAGGACAGGCTGGCTGGGCATGGCGGGGGTGCAGCATTTCCGGAAGGGAGAGCTGCTGTGAGCGGAACAGGTCCGTGCTGCTCTGCAGACAGAGCCTCACGCAGCTCTGATGCACGGCCCACCTCTGCACACACACAGCCTGTTGATTGGAAAGAACAGAACCTTCCTCTGTGGTTTTCCTCCGGAGCATTTTTGGAGGAAGTTCTTCCCCTCCAGGTGTAGAAGGCAACTTGAATGAGCAGGGACATCTCCTGACCGGCACTTCGTGTCCAAGTGGGAGGAGCTAGTGTGCAAGGGACAGTTGCTTGTAGACACCTATGCGTCTCCCTGTTTCCAGCCACTCCCTCTTGCCTCTGGTTCTGCAGGAGCAGAAGTGGGTCTCAGCCAGTGGAGAAGTCTCCCCAGAGCTCCCGGAGTGGTCCCCTTACTCGCCAGGGCACTCCAGCCGGCACAGCAACCCCCCGCTCTACCCCGGCAAGGCATCTGTGGGTGAGTCAGCCCGGCAGGGCTGGGCAGAGGAGGGCTTTGTGGCCCCAGGGCCGACCAGTGCCTGGGACAATGGAGTCATTTCAAGGGGAAGCTGTGTGTCCTCAGCCCAGAGCTAGCAGGCGCTGCCCTGTCTGGGTGATGTTAGTCAGTGTCAGGGACATTTCCTAGCCTTGCAGGGTGCTTTCCCCCCATAGTGGCCTGGGAAACAGGAAGCAGCAAAGAGAAAGGCTTGCATAGCTGTGGGCTGGCTGGGTGCTTTGGGGAGCCGGTTCTCACCCCGCCCATTTCTAGGCACCGTTCCCCGGAGCATGACCCCGAGCACCACTGTGAGCTCCATCCTGAGGAACCCCATCTACACCGTGCGTAGCCACAGGGTTGGCCCTTGCAGCTCTCCACCCGTCCCCAGAGAGGTCGGCCCCCAGGTTTTGCATCCCAGGTATGTGAAGGCTCCCGCACCTCCTTGCACCCCAGCCATCCAAGCCCACCTGGACATAAAGCCACCGGGGCCATGGAGAGGCTCCTGGACAGAGGTTCCCTTGCCCAGCTGGGAAGGGGCTGGTTTCAGCAGCACTGGGACCCCAGGGACAGTGGTTCACCAATGTGGAGCTTGAAAAGATATTTAAGGAGAGATGATAGTGATGGTAGCCAATCCTTCGTTGCTCACGTGTCAGGCACTGTGCTCAGACCTTTGTAAACATTATCTCATTTAATTGCCACAGCAACCCTAGGTGCTAAGGACTATTATGTCTCTGCTTTATATAGATGAGCAAACTGAGCCTGAAAAAATGGTCACTTTCATTTGTTCATTCATTCATTCAATTATTTGACAAGTTTTTATTGAGCACCTATTGCATGGCATGGACTGTTCTAGTTCCAGGGGGATGCAGGGAGAACTAAATAGACAAGCTTCTACTCGTGGCGTTTGTGTTCACGTATGGGAGGCAGATAGGAAAACGTGAACAGATGATACCACATGGTGCTGAGTAGCTCTGAAAACCGTAAACAAGGCGACGAGCTAGCCCGAGTGGGAAGCCGGTGGAGGGTTAGATTGGATGGTGGGGAGGCCGCCTGGTGGGGAGGATGCTGCTGTAGGCCAGCTGCACAGGACGTGGGCCGAGTCCCCGGTAGGGAGGGCTGTTGGTGCTGTGCTCGGGCACCTGACAGCAGTGTGACCCTTGGGACAGAGTGGGGGAGCCAGACAAAGGCAGAGTGGGTCGGCGGTGAGCCCAGGTCACAGGGCACCAACCCTCAGGGTCTGCAGCCATAACACAGAGTTGGAGTTTTACTCGGAGTGCAGGGGAGACCACTGGAGGGTTTTAGGCAGGAAGAGATGGAGTCTCATTATGCTGTTAAAAGGCCATTGTTGGGCCTGGTGGAAGGTGTCTGGGCTCTCTGCCCTCTGGCTCCCCAGGCACGTTCTCCTGAGGGAGGCTCCCGGTTCCCTCCCCAGAGCCCTCTGCCCATCTGGCCTCTCCCCACGCCCGGCCCCCCCCCGGGATTCAGAGCCCCTTTTCCCTGTAGAAGCCCTTCCTCCAGAGAACCCGACCCCGGCTGAGGCTGAGGCTGAGGTGGGTGGGCCGCTCCTGCTCCATTTGTGTGGCCCTTTCTCCCTCGTGCAGGGCCCTTGTAGATGTGCCGCTGGCATGGCTGCAGGCAGGCTGCTGTCCTCAGCTGACAGCCAGTGGCTTCCAGGCCTCCCTTCTGCCAGCCCAGGGAGGGAGGCCTTGCTGCCTGTCACTTGTGTTTCTCCCAGGGGCTGTGTCCAGTCTTGGCCCCTCACCTGTCTGGTTCTCCCACAGTGTCCAGCACCAGGGACGCCTGAGCCTGGACCTGAGCCACAGGGCCTGCAGCGACTACTCGGAGATGAGAGCCTCCCACGGGTCCAACTCACTGCCCTCCAGCGCCCGCCTGGGTAACTGCGCCACTGCCTTGTCACCGTGGCAATCCGGCCTTGTTCATCTCCACCTGTGGCATTATGCCCGCCTCGTGGTGGCCTCTCCGTGGCTCCTCCCCTCCGGGGCCCAGGGTGGCTCTGCACCGCACAATCCTTTGGCCGTCTGTTGTGCTCTTGGCTTTCCTAGTGGCCATGAGGTTGTTCCTGGCGACCCCTAGCCCAGGAGCCCTGCTCCCGCCCTGAGCTTGTCGGTCATCCTGGGGGAGGCTGTAGTGCTCTTTACTTATGGGAAGGCAGCCAGAGTGGAGGCTGGCACTTGCCCTGTGGCGGTGCCCAGGCTCTGAGAGCAGGTGAGCAGCTGCCTCTCCCACTTGGGTTGCTGCCCCTGTTCCGAGGCAGAGTGAGATTTGTGTGATTCTGTTTGGGAGCAGGCGGAGCCTGCACAGTTCATTCACATACTGGGTATTCTGTAGCTGCTTTTCTTGCCTGAGCCCCATTTAGGCCCCTTGGGGATCAATGGCAGGGCCCTGCTTTGCATTTTGTCATGGCCACAGAGGGTGAGGGTGGTGTGTACTCTCAGGCCTAAAGTTCTGTCCCCTGTGGAACACAGGGTCTTCAAGCAACTTGCAGTTCAAGGCCGAGCGCATTAAAATCCCATCAACGCCAAGATACCCCCGGTCTGTTGTGGGCTCCGAGAGAGGTGAGGCCTTCCCAGCACACCCTCCCCTGCTGTTCAGGCTGTGCCCGCGGGGGAGTGTCTGGGCAGGGCTGTGACTGCCTCCTCAGTCCAGCCAGTCTGTAAACACCGAGTCCAGCTCAGCCTGGCGATGTGAGGGTGGAAAGGCCCTGTGGAGCCAGCGTCTGAAGTCCAGGCCACGAGCTGTGGCCGCGGCGTGGGGCCATGTGTCTGGATCATGTCTCCCTCTGGGTCTTGGCTGCGGGAGAGCTGAGATGCAAGATGGAGCCCTGTGTTACCCACACCTTTTTTGGCAGGTTCATTGTCGCATTCTGAATGCAGCACCCCCCCGCAGTCACCCCTCAACATCGACACCCTGTCCTCTTGTAGCCAGTCCCAGACCTCAGCCTCCACGTTGCCTAGAATTGCAGTCAACCCCGTGGTCCTCGGGGAGCGGAGAAAGGACAGGTGAGCATGGCCTGGGCGTCCGTGCCGGGCACAGTGATGGGTAGCACATCCCCAAATGGGCCTGAGCTGTCGAGGGAAGGCGCCTGGCAGGAGCAGGGGGAGGCGGAGTTTTGACTGAGTTGATCCTAGGCCGAGGCCACAGTGAGTGGGTCACCTAGCATTCCCTGACGTGTTGTCCAGCAGCCTGTCCTCGGTATCGTTCCATGTCAGTAAATCCTGGCATCATTTGTTAGGCTTCATGGCGTCTATTGTATGGCTACTGTGATTCAGTTACCTGCTCTTTATTGAGATCGATGTGTTGATTGGAGGTGGGACAGAGGAAAGGGTATTCAGTGGAGAATGAGGATGCCTGGACCAGAAACTCACTCTTCCACACCCACAGGCTGGCCTGGGCCTTGATGCCATCCTCCTCGGCTGGGGTGTGAGGAGGGTGTTGGGGTGGTTGCTCACTAAAGGTTTTTGGTTAATCCTCACCGAGGATATTTTTCCACTGATTTTTAGAGAGAATGGAGGAGAGAGGGAAAGACAGAGAGAAATATTGATGTGAGAGAAACACATCGATTGGTTGCCTCCTGCATGAGCCCCGACCAGGGCCCGGGCCGGGAAGGAGCCTACCACCGAGGTACGTGCCCTTGACCTGAACTGAACCCGGGACCCTTCAGTCCATAGGCTGATGCTCTATCCACTGAGTCAGACAAGCTAGGGCATCACTAAGGGTTCTTAAAACTTAACTGCCTGGCTCTCTAATACGTGTTGAGTCTCAAAGTGATGGAGGTGCAGGCCCGGGACTCACCGTCTGAGCCGGAGGGTCGAGGAAGGCATTGCAGAGCAGGTGAGTCTGGGAGGGGAGGAGAGACCAGTCAGGAAGGATTTTTATCTCAGCCTCTAAGAGAGACTGCTGCACCTCAGGTGGCAGAGGTGGGTGGTTCACGGCCTGGCCTCCGCCCGCCTTCCTTCACCACATGGATCCACATGGACCCACCCTCACCCACATGCTGGAGGGCAGCCCCGGGGGATGGCTCTCCTACTGGCCCTCCCTAGGCCTCTGGCCATGATTTTGTCCTGAAAGGAAGAGCTCAGGGCGGCGTGAAGCACAGTCACGTGGCTGTCTTTCTGTCTTGTGTTCCAGGAGTCTGTGGGTGTCCTGCTCCGAGCATCCCTCTCCTTTCTAACCTTTCGCACCTTCCAGATGTCACCAGCACAGATCCCTCCTGAGACTGCCCGTGGCTGCCAGGCCCAGGTCCTCCTCCCTGAGGAGTCTGAGGTTGGCCGACTAGAGGCCCCGCCGAGCCCCTAGGGCCCTGGGCACGCGGTCAGCTCCCCTGGGCCAGCAAGTGCATGGCCGCTGCCTTGCTCTGAGCCTCCCGCTCCCTTTTTAGTGGCTGGGTTTGCAGTAGCTTAATTTCCATGGTCATCTTACATCACCCTGTGTTCCGGTAAATAAGAAAACTGATGCTTTATGTGCCTCTTCTGGGGTGAATGTCACCTCAGAAGCCTTTCTTTTCCTCCGAAGGCATCTTTACTAGTAGACTCCACTGGGGCGTTTGTACATGGCACATTGTAAGGGAACTCATCTCACATGAAAATCGTGCTTTCCTCCTGCGGATACTAGTACTTCCTAGTATAGCTCAGACGGACCCTTCTTTGTGTCTTTGTGTCTGGGTGCTTCCGTACCATTTGGGGTGTTGTGTTTGTGTAGCATGAGGTTGCGGGATGTGTATCGCTGTCATACAAAGGTGGGTCATCGTGTTCTCATCCGGCTGTGTCCACGTGGGAGCGCCTGGCGCTCCCTGGCCCTGTCTGCATAGCTGATTGCATGCCTCGCCTCAGGCCTTCCCCAAACCCTTCCGTTAGGTCCCAGTCCCCAAATTCTTGTCTCTCTTCCAAGGCCCTACATGGAGGAGCCGCGCCATGTCAAGCTGCAGAAGGGCTCGGAGCCCCTGGGCATCTCCATCGTGAGTGGAGAGAAGGGCGGTGTCTACGTCTCCAAGGTGACTGGGGGCAGCATCGCTCACCAGGCTGGCCTTAAGTATGGGGACCAGTTACTTGAGGTGAGCGGGAGCCTCCCTGCCTGGAGAAGCGGTGCCCCCGCGTCCCCATCCCGCCGCTTCACCGCCCGCTCTGGTGTCCCCTAGTTCAATGGCATAAACCTGCGGAGCGCCACGGAGCAGCAGGCCCGCCTCATCATCGGGCAGCAGTGCGACACCATCACCATCCTGGCCCAGTACAACCCACACATGCACCAGCTCAGCAGCCACTCCCGGTCCAGGTGAGGGCCTGGCCTTGAGGGGCTGTCTGGGTGCGCAGGTGCTCGGCTCCCCACCGGAGACCAGGGTGCCTAGCTCGGGACTTTGGAAAAAGGACATACTAGAGGGAAGATGTCTCCTCCTGAAACGGTGTGGGAAGGGATGGCTGGGTCCCCCGGTGCTGCAGGAGGCCCACCCCTGGGGGCGTGGTGGCCGGAGGGGGTTCACACCCAGGGCCCCTGACCACGAGCACGCACTGCCTGTGTTTGCCCTCCTGCGGTGGGTTACAGGGCAGAGGAGGGAAGGGGAGGAAATGCCCCCCCACCCAGCACTGTCCAGCTGTGCGAGGGGGATGAGATGCACAGTGCCGTGTAGCCTGGTCCCTACCGGAGAGGGCGTGGCTCCGGCTGCGGAAGGCTGAGTGCCGCTCCTTATTCTTCCTGTCCTGTGTCCTCAGCTCCCACCTGGACCCTGCCAGCACCCACTCCACTCTCCAGGGCAGCAGTGCTACGGTCCCGGAGTATCCCTCGGGCATTGACCCGCTGATGGAGCAGGACGAGGGCCCTGGCACCCCCCCGACCAAGCAGAGCGCCCCCAGTTCCAGGTCAGCAAATGTGCGCTGTGAGCCTGCCTCCTGTGCGCCTCAGTGAGTGGGGTGGTCCAGGTGGGTCGTTGTCGTGGCCTGAGCACATCCTCTGAGAGGTGTGGGCACTGGACAGGGTGTCACCTGTGCTGCAGACCGCACAGCAAGCCAACAGGATCTGGGGTGGGAGCACACCGTTCCTCTTCCCCTCCTGCTTCCTGCCCTTCCTTGCTTTCCTTTTTTCTCTCGAACGTATTGGGAGGGGCAGTGCAGGCCACGAGGGAGCCCTCGGGAGTGTGGCAGGGAATGGTGACAGCTGAGTCAGACGTTCAGGAGGAGCAGGGGTTAGGTGTGCAAAGGGCGTGTGTGGAGAGCCATCAAGAGGAGCGGTCAGCCTTGCCGTGGGCAGGAGGAGGCAGGCGCACATGGGAGCTGGAGGGGCAACAGGGAGAGCCTCATGGGCCAGGGCAGGCAGCCCTGCAGGGAACCGTTTCCCTGTCATGGTGGGGCCTCAGCCAAGCCCGGCCTCACTCAGCGTGAGGCCAGCTCTGTGGCCTCGGCACCGGGTCTGTCACGTTGGAACTTAGCACATGGTCATCACCTGGCTTCTCCCCTGAGGTCCCTGTCCTCGGGCTCCACCCCTGCCCCCCGTCCTGCACTCGGTCTGTTGCCAGCACCTTAGTCTCCCTCACTGCACCGTGGCTTCCTCGATGGCACGGGGCCCTTCTCCATAGTTCAGCGCTGTCCCTGGGCCTAGCAGCTGCTCAGGAAACATGTGCTGCCTGAGCCGTGTCCTGGTCAGTGGGACTGGCTCTCACCTTCCTCGGGCAGAACGAGGTGAGGAAAGCAAGTACCGCCAGGTGGGAGCGACACCCAGCCTGAGGCACGCGGCTGGCAGCTGGCCAGGAAGCAGGGGCTTGATGCCCACTCTGTTGCCAACTGGCTTTGCAACCAGGGCCCCGTTTTCACCTCTGCCAAGCCTCAGCGGATCACTAGAACTGGGCCCGCAGCCGGACCTCCCGGCTCCTGGGTTCTGAGACCTCAGGAGACATGGGAGCAAGCAGACAGGTCGGGCCTTGGCCGCTGTTTTGCCTTTTCCCTGCCCTCCTCCTGGGCCTGACGAAGGAACTCCATTTCTCTCCTGAAAGGATGGTGGGAGATGCCAACAAGAAGCCCCCAGAGCCACGAGTGGTCTTTGTCAGAAAGTCCCAGCTGGAGCTTGGAGTGCATCTGTGTGGTGGGAACCTGCACGGGGTGTTTGTGGCCGAGGTGGAGGACGACAGTCCTGCCAAGGGCCCCGACGGCCTGGTGCCGGGCGACCTCATCCTGGAGGTGAGTTCTGAGCGCTCTGTCTGCACATCAGGCTTCCTCATTCTCAAGAGGGGGCGGAGCTGCTAAGACCCCCTGGGAGATCGCTGGCCCCTTGAGCCCTGGCGTCTGTCGGAGCGGAGTGCTCGGCTCCTGCGGCAGCAGGACTCTGACCTGCTGAGCGTGGTGTCTGCCCTCCTGGTCTCCTGCATGGTGGGAGCCGGGTTGTAGGCCTTGAGAAATGCCAGTCGTGTCGGCAAGACGAAGTGCGGTGTTACTGGCTGAGGGACGGAGCAGGGTTTCTCCTGGGTCACAGAAGGAATAAAAACACCGCTCAGCTGTGTGCCATGAGGAATAGGTCCCTGTCTCTAGAACCCCCTCCTTGGCGGAGGTACCACGGTTCCATCCTGCGTGGAGGGCAGACCGGACACAGGCAGACGTGCCAGCCCTGCCAGCAAAGAGGAGGCAGGCAGGTTCTCCTTTAAGGGATGTTGAACCTACACCTTATCCCACCATCTGCCCCTCATGGGTGCCCAAGCTGCCCTGGCCTCTGCCCTTTGACCCCGGTTCTGTCCCTGGGCAGTACGGCAGTCTGGACGTGCGCAGCAAGACGGTGGAGGAGGTCTACGTGGAGATGCTGAAGCCCAAGGATGGCGTCCGCCTGAAGGTGCAGTACCGCCCAGAGGACTTCTCCAAGGTCAAGGGCCTGCCTGGCGACAGCTTTTACATCAGGTGCCGGTGCCAGGGCTTCCAGGGACTCGGGGCCAGGGGAGGGGCTTTTGACGGAGACCGTTCCTGGTAAATGCCTCTGTTTTCACCCCAAAGGGTGGGACCGTGGTCATTACTTGGGCCCCAAACTGCATCCCATGGCGGGATGCTTGTGACTTAGAAAAACCCGAGGGCTCGCAGGGCCAGGTGGGCTCCCCCTTTAGGGTTTAGGGCCTGGGGGGCTTGGGACTGAAGAGCCCCGTTTTCCTGTGGGCTGCCCTGCTCTCCCCGTCTTCCCCCGACCCAGGTCTGTCGATCCTCTGCCGTGTGTCCACAGTGTCCTGCAATGTGTGGGGGACGGGCATCTGGCAGTTTCTAGGGGGTGCTCATAGCTTCCTTCCTATTTCCTAAAATCTGAGGCCACAGAAAGAACCAGAGCACCGGTCAGCTGTGTGCCATGGGGTGTGGGTCCCCGTCTCTAGGGCCCCCTCCGTGGTGGGCTGACGTGTTTCCATCCTGGGGAGTTTCCAGGCTGTAGGAGCCACCAGCCTGGACTCGGGGAGGAAGGCCAAAGGAGAGGTTCTCATGGACGGTGGGCACGGCCTTGGTCCTTGGCAAGTTCTCTGCCTTATGGGCATGAGGCCCCTCCCCTCCCCCCAGGGCGCCTGGGTCTCGGAGGAAAGGCAGCGGCTTTGTCCTGTTAGTAAAGCCCGGCTCCCTTCTTCGGACGAGGACAGACAGCAGGTCCTGATCCTGGTCTGGGAAAGCTCAGAGCAGAGCATACCTGGGCTTGGCTGTCGAGGCTGTGGCTCCTGATCCTCTCCCTCGTCGCCTGGCGCAGGGCCCTGTACGACCGGCTGGCGGAGGTGGAGCATGAGCTGAGCTTTAAGAAAGACGACATCCTCTATGTCGATGACACCTTGCCCCAGGGCACGTTTGGGTCCTGGATGGCCTGGCAGCTGGACGAGAACGCCCAGAAGATCCAGCGCGGGCAGATCCCCAGCAAATACGTGTGAGTGTTTTGTGGGGGGGGCCTTGGGGGTGAGGGGGGTGTGGGGGGGTGCCTGTGGCACTCTCCCCCAGACGGAGGACTCGTTCTGCTACTCACTTTGGCTTCTGGTCGACTCGTCTTCCAAAATCGCTGTCTGAAAGCTGCTCCTAGTGCAAGTCACTGCCGTGCATGGGTCAGCTGCACAGAAGCACAGTGGCAACTGAGGAGACAGCTTTTTAAAATGTTTAACAGATTTATTGAGGTATAATTCACATATCGTACAATTTACTCGAAGTGTATGATTCGTGGCTTTTGGTATATTCACAGATATGTGCAACCATCACCACAAATTTTAGAACAGTCTCATCACCTAAGCAGCCCGGGCCCCGTTAGCTGTCCCTCTCTGCCTTCCCTGCCCCCCCTGTAACCCTAGGCAACCACGCATCTACTTTCCCTGTCTATAGGTTTCCTGTTCTGGGCTTTGTAGGGAAGGGATCATAGAGCCGTGGTCTCCTTGACTGGCTTCTTCACTTAGCGTAACGGTTGTGCTGCAGCGTGCATCAGAGCTCCGTTCCCCCGTGGCAGGGAGCGTGGCCTGCAGTGCCTCCCAGCGAAGGCTGTCCTGGTCCTTGGACGCCATCTGAATAGACGTTGCCTGCTCTGAGAGCTCGCCCACAGCAGTGGTTCCAGGGCCCCTCGGTGGCCTGGGTGGGTGAAGTGCCCAGGAGACCTGCAGAGGAGTGTGGGTGGAGCTTGGACTTCCAGCCCTCGCCCTCCTCAGGGGCAGGCGGGCGGGAGATGGGCCCTTCCCAGCTCTGCCATTCCCTGTGGTGCAGGATGGACCAAGAATTCTCCAGGAGGCTCAGCATGTCGGAAGTCAAAGATGACAGCAACGCCTCCAAGACGCTGTCCGCGGCTGCGCGCAGATCCTTCTTTCGAAGAAAACACAAGCACAAGCGCAGCGGGTCCAAAGATGGGAAAGACCTCCTCGCCTTGGACGCCTTTTCCAACGACTCCATTCCACTCTTTGAAGGCAGGTGGCTGAGCTCACTCTGCCGACGGGCTTTCAGGATCGGGTTTGCTGTTGACCACAGAATCCTCACAGCAACCACTTAACTAAGTTAGAGGTTTGCTTTGCTTTTGCACAGAAGTCGTCTAGAGTTAGGTGTCTGGGTTGGCATGGTGGTGCCACTGTCTTCAGTCTACCGTCTGTCGCATGTGGGTTCCTTCCTCAAGGCCTCCCCATGGTCACCACCTGTCATTGCAGCTCCAGCCATCACGCCCATGTCCCGGCAGCAGGAAGGAGGAAGGGGCCAGGCGAAGTGTGTCTCAGCTGAGTGTGGCTGTTGAACAGCTCACCCTGCAGCTTCTGCTGCGTCTCGGTGGCCACCCTCATGTGCGAGAGTGTGACACAGGCAGGGTTTTGGTTGGCACATCCTGGCCTCCAGTGACGCAGGTCCTGTTACTCGGGAAGGACAGGCACTACTTGGTGGTGCCAAGGACCACTGGTCTCTGCAGGTCTTTGCCCCTTTCTGGCCTCACTTCTGTGTCCATTCATGATTTTTACAAGATCCTCCCAGGGCTGGGCGCTGCCCGACCTGGAGTTGCATCAGGAGCCAGACATCCCCTGGCAGGTTGCCCTTGAGGAGAGGGTGTGCTCGTCCCATAAAGTGGAGGTGCTTGTGTGTGTTGCTCCTGGGACCCTGGAATGTGTCCACTGTCCCAGAACAGGAGCCCTTCTGGGTGTGGAGGTGGCAGTGAGCAGCAGAAGGCAGGCAGCCGTTCCTCCTTCCCCTCATTCTCTCCCCTCCCTCCCCTCTTAATGTCTTAAATTAAGGCCTCAGGCTCCCTGTCACTCTGAGTCAGGATAGGGGTTAGCATCCCACAGCCCCTGGACCGAGCGTAGCCCACTGCCTGCTTGCTGAGACTGGGTTCTTACATGGTAAAGTGTAAGAAAGACAGCCTTTATAGGTACTTGATTTTGCCTTTTGGTCTTTACAACCTAAAATATTTACCATCTTGCCCTTAATAGAAAAAATCTGCCGACCTCTTGGGTTTCTCACTTATTTAGTTTTCTTTTTCTTTTCTTCTTTATTTCTTTGATCTCCACTTTCAATATCCCCATTCCCTTTCTCCCATAGACACCATCTCAGGCATATTTGTTGTGTGCTCAGTGGATATATTAATATCTCTGAAAAATAGCCATTTGTCTGTTTTTCCTTTTAGTTCATCAGTTGTTGTTTGAAGTTGTCTTTAGGTGCATACACCTTTTGAATTGTTATCTTCCTGGTGAGCTGATCCTTTTATCATCATGAGATGTACATCTTTATCTCCAGGAATGTTTCTTGCCTTAAAGTCTGTTTTGTCTGATGTTACTGTTATAACAGCTTTCTTTTGGTTCGTGTTCACACAATTCTTCTTTTTCTATCTTTTTACTTTAAACTTTTGTATCTTTATATTTAAACGTCTCTTGTAAGTAGTTTTTTTTTAACCCATGGTGACTAATTCTTTTTTCATTTTATTGAAGTATAATATATGTACGGAAAAGTGCACATAGATTTAGAGTTTGGAAAATTGTGTCATTTGGAAAATGCCTGACCCCTGTTTCTTTAAAGCTGCTTCTGTGCGCTTCTTTCCTCTCCTGTATCTTATTATTATTATTATTTGGTGAATTCTCTCCCAAGAATATTGTTTTTCCATTGATTTTTAGAGAGAGTGGAAGAGAAGAAGGGAGGGAGGGAGGGGGGAGGGAGAGAGAAACATTGATGTGAGAGAAACACATCAATCGGTTGCCTCCTGTACCACCGACCAGCAGCAGGGCCAGGGATTGAACCTGCAACCCAGGTACATGCCCTTGATCCGGAATCGAACCCGTGACTCTGTGGTTCGTATACCAATGCTCTAACTGCTCAGAAACACCGGCCAGGGCTCTGTCTTACTTCTTTGACCGTTTCCCCACGTGTTTTACACTTTCCCCCCGACATTTTCCATGTTGTTTCTCTCCGTGCTTCCGTCTGGGTGCTTTCTCCTGACCGTCTTCCTGTTCACAGTGCACTCTTCTGTTGTGTTCAACACGTTCTTATTTCAGAAATTGCATATTTTAGTTTTAGTTGCCATTTGATATTTTTGTGGTAAAAACACATATCATTAAATCTGCCATCATAGCCATTTTTAAGTATCCAGCTCGGTGGCGTTATGGATACTTGCATTGTTGGGCAACAGAACCCTAGAGCAGAGAATGAGGAGTGGGGGTGGGTGAGCAGGCCTGCGACACAGAAGGAAGGGTTTCAGCAGCCGAGGTGCTGAAATGACTCGGGTGTTCACCGATGGGGGAGTTGTGCTGGACTCCAGCATGACTGTGCCCTGCTGTGCCCGGGACGTGGGACTCCAGTGCTAAGACTGGGCAAGTTCCAGGCAGACTCGGGTGAGCTGGCCACACTGCCTGGCGCTGGGTTTGTGGAGTGTAGGGGTGAGCCTGCCTGGAGTTAGCAAGAACGGGACCACGGTGTCCCCAGCTCCTCTCCCTCCCTCGCCCCAGGCGGTTACCATGACACTGCCCCTCTCCCCCCTCAGATTCGGTGAGCCTTGCCTACCAGCGGGTCCAGAAAGTAGACTGTACCTCCCTGAGGCCCGTCCTGATCCTGGGGCCGTTGCTGGACGTGGTGAAGGAAATGCTGGTGAACAAGGAGCCCAGCAAGTTCTGCAGATGCCCCCTGGGTAAGGGCCCCCCATGCTCGTCCCTGTGCCCCTTCCCTCAATCTCCTGGGCCAGATCCCAGTGTTTCCAAGCCCTTCTGACCGGGGTTAGACGGGGAGTAGCTTGCGGCTTTCTCTGGAGAGAGGACGGCAGGACTGGGTGCTAGGGCCCCTCTGCAGAGCTCCTCGCAGGGTGCTCCGCGGTGCTGCCTCCTGAGCCTGTGTCTGCTTACAGAGGTGATGAAGGCCTCCCAGCAGGCCATTGAGCGAGGTGTCAAAGACTGCCTGTTTGTCGACTACAAGCGCAGGAGCGGCCATTTCGACGTGACCACGGTGGCTTCCATAAAGGAGATCACAGAAAAGGTACCTGCTGCTTCAGACCGAGGGTTTGCACCTGTTGGAGCCTTTGGTGCTGCCCCGTGCAGCCCCAGACCCTCACCCATGCCCTTCAGTCCGATGAGCCTGCTTGGGGCTCACCCATGGCTGCTCTGTGCTTCCACTTTCATGAAGAGGAAGCCGGTCAGGGAGAGGGGTGCAGGGGTCACCCTGTGTAGGGGGTGTAGGGGAGGGTGCAGGAGTCACCATGTGTAGGGGTGTAAGAGAGAGTGCAGGGGTCACCCTGTGTAGGGGGTGTAGGGGAGGGTGCAGGAGTCACCCTGTGTAGGGGGTGTAGGGGAAGGTGCAGGAGTCACCCTGTGTAGGGGGTGTAGGGGAGGGTGCAGGAGTCACCCTGTGTAGGGGGTGTAGGGGAGGGTGCAGGAGTCACTCTGTGCATGGGGTATAGGGGAGGGTGCAGGAGTCACCCTGTGTAGGGGGTGCGAGGGAGGGGTGCAGGAGTCACCCTGTGTAGGGGGTGCGAGGGAGGGTGCAGGAGTCACCCTGTGTAGGGGGTGCGAGGGAGGGGTGCAGGAGTCACCATGTATAGGGGGTGCGAGGAGGGGTGCAGGAGTTACCCTGTGCACGGGTGCCTCTTCCAGGGAGGTCTGCAGCTGGGTCCCACACACGTCTGCTGAACTGGATGCAGAGCTTTCCTGTGCCTTTGCTGGGACAGGGCCCATGGCTTCCGTCAGGACCCTGCCCCTGGGTGGGCCAGCAGCCCTTGCTGTGGGTCTTTAGGTTCTAGAAAGTTCTGGGCTCCACTTGCATGAGGGAAAGTGGACATCTCAGGGCGTGTGGGAAAGGCACCTTCGAGGCTGTGGGTGCTCCTGAGGCCCTGCCTTCCCGGGCCTCTTAGAGCTGTAAGTGCATTTCAGTCTCAGTCTCCCAAAGACAGACACTCCCGTCCACCACAGGCCCTGCTCATCAGAGGGCAAGATGGGGTAGCACTTAAAGAGTTCCCCATATCTGGGCAAAGGCAGGAAAGGAAGTTTGCAGCCCCCGCTGGGCACTGGCTCCCAGCCTTGACCCCACAGCGCCGACAGCTGTGGGGGGAGAGTTTGGGGTTAGCTTTAGCTTCCCACGGTTTGTCATGCCTTGTCTTCATGAGAGATGGCCGCGGGTAGAACTCGGTGTTCACTTGTGGAGCGAGGAAGAGCCTGTGAGGGGACAGGTGGGCCCCATCGGTGGCAGAGGAAGCGGAAGTGTCCCCAGAAGGGCTGCGGTGTTTCCGAGGCCCGGCCCCCAGGCCCGGCCCCGGCGCTCACTCTCCGCCCGCCCCCCGCAGAACTGGCACTGTCTGCTGGACGTCGCCCCCCACGCCATCGAGCGGCTGCACCACATGCACATCTACCCCATCGTCATCTTCATCCACTACAAGAGCGCCAAGCACATCAAGTAGGTGGGGGCTCCTGGGCCCGGCCTGGGGCCTGGCTGGGCTGCTGCTCCCACGGCCAGGGTGGTGGTGCTGGGGCGTCGGGTGGGAGTGGGAGAATGAGACCAGCCTGTCGGCCTTGGAATAGGCAGCACATGTGAGAACGACTCTTCCGCCTCAAGCTGCTGACACGTCCAGAGCCGGGCAGTGTTAGCCTGGCTCAGCTCCTCCCTGCCCGCCCCCCTCTGCCCTGTTTGGGTGCTGCCCTAGCTCTGAGTAGGTCCAGCTTTGTCTGCAGAGCTCCTCTCCCGCCCTGTCCCCATTCCCTCTCCTGCCTCTCAGCTGGTGCTCACAGGACACAGGAGCTAGCGGGCCTGGGCGCCCAGCTCCGCCAGAAGCAGGCTGTGTCGTGGGTGAGCCTCTGCTCCCCGACCTCCAGCTGGGCTAACAGCTCATCAAGGCCCCTCCCTTTTGCCTGTTTGTGCTTCCAAGTGTCTGGTACCTGCTCTCGGGGGCCGCTGGGGTGTCTGCTCGTTATGTGCGTGCACGGGGGTGCCCCCCTCCACCTCTGCCCAGAGCTCCCCATGGAGCCTACAGGCTGTGGCTGTGCTTCCAAAGGGAGCACACGGGGATCCTGTTACTCTGGACAAAGGAACGGAAGAGGCGGGGGGTCAGGGAAGTGCGAGGCTCACTCGGTTCCCTGCGTGTCCCCACAGGGAGCAGAGAGACCCCGTGTACCTGAAGGACAAGGTGACACAGAGGCATTCCAAAGAGCAGTTTGAGACGGCTCAGAAGATTGAGCAGGAGTACAGTCGGTACTTCACAGGTAGGTGTGCATCGCTCGGAGAGCAGCAGGTGGCTGGGAATCGGGTGTCCCGAAGAGAATTAGAAGTGGCACAGCCATGCTTGCTGGGGGCCGGTGATGCCCTTGCCAACACTCATTTCAGATGCTCTGATGGCAGGCGCAGGGCAGTGTCAGGAATTCAATAGGTTGAGGGGTAAAGCTCCCTGATTTGGCCTCAGGCATGGTCTGGCCTGTCCACCCAGGTCTGTCACGTGTGCAGTGGCAGGTCTGTCTCACAGCCTGTAGCACAGCTTCCAGGTTCCCGGGTGGCAGCACAGGGCGGCTCTGACCCTGTGCTCCCAGCACCTGCAGGCAGGTCAGTTTTGCCTTGAGGTTTGGTGAAGAAAAGCTGCGACCTTACCATCCCTGGTCTTTGAAGCGAAGCAAACAGCCACAGGCCTGGCCCAGCTGCTGGCTGTCGCTGACCCTGTGGCTTTCAGCCTCTTCCACAACGTTAGTCATTTGTGGGGGGTTAGTGGGGTGTGGGCGCAGAGAGGTGTGGCAGTGATTGGCGTAGTGTGGAGGCTGCTGGGATCTGTGCTTCGCGTGCAGTAGTTGTTCTCAGAACCAACCTTGGGGCTTCCCCGTGTATGTGTGTGTGTGTGTGAATTTCCAGTCCACCACAGACTAGTATTTCAGTCAAATACTTTAACAGTTACTAGAGAAATGAAGATTTAAAACTCCAAACTTATAAAATACAGGCCTTGCTTCTTTATTAGATTCAACAGACACAGATTCTGTCACATGTCTATAGCAGTTTCTAGCGCTCCCCAGCAAGTCCTGGTCATGCCAGCGGCGGGCACCTGGGACACGCTCCGTCCACTGCGTGTTCTGTGGAGCACACTGAACGCCCTGGCTGGTGTCTCAGGGCCCGTGGTGTTGAAAGCCTGTGAGCAGGGCTGGAACATACATGGAAACATCACGTCTTTGCTGGGAATCCTCTCTGGTCCATGGGATGCCCAGCTCCTAACCCCTGTTTCCTGCACAATTTTGCTGCGGATCAGACCTTCATAACACGCTTTCCGATGTGCTGGGCTCCCCAGGGGCAAGACTGGGCACCAGGCCTACTCGCATGTCATGCCCAGGGTTACATCTGGTTACCCTGTGACGGGCTGGGGAAGCTTGGCAAAGTTTGACACCCACCTCCATTTAAGCCCATGCTTCCAGCATCCTGCTGAACAGTGGACCAGAGAGACAGATAAAAAGCCAAAGTGATTTGTATTCAACTCCTTTTCTTCCCCAATTTCTTGCTGATGGAAGAGAGTGGACGGCAGAGAGGCAGGAGCTCAAAATAGGCGGAGAAACAGAAAGAGTAGATAGAGGGTGTATTTATTTGCCTCGAACCTGGGGTCTTCCTCTGTTGCAGGGGTCGTCCAGGGAGGAGCCCTGTCGAGCATTTGCGATCAGATCGTGGCCTTGGTCAGCCAAGAGCAGAGCAAAGTCCTGTGGATTCCAGCCTGCCCGCCGTAGGCCGCTGTGCTGGGAACAGAGGCAGCTTGTCACCAGCGTCCGTCCTGGCTCAGCTTCTCTGACTATGAGCACCGGAGGAGGGTCCACCAGCAGGGCCCCAGGCAGTGGGCCGCAGATGCACAGACTGTCTTCCTCACACGTGTGCTTTAAGACAAAAACAGTAACCACCCAGGACTCCTGCTAGAGGTTCCACACCAGCCTTCCGAGGCCGCGATCCGCGATGCTGCAGAGAACCTTTCACATCACAAGTTTACAAGCCTTTCTAAGTATTTGGTTGTTTCTGTTTACTTGAACGGCCCATGTTGTTGGTGCCCAGCCCCTGCCCCTGTCCATCCCGTGTTGCTTTCGTGTTTTGGTTTTGTTCCTGTTTTCAGCGAAACAACTCTGGAACCTCAATGGGCTGCTCTGCTCTGGAAGGTTCGTGGTGGGACCAGAGCTCTGAAAACCTCTACTCCTCGGTGGCGTCTCCCGGAAGGACATCGCCATGGCAGATGCTTGGACATCGGTGGTGGCAGAACCAGTGCCTTCGTGGGGCCGACTCGCCAGCGGCAGTGGTTTCCCTGCCCACACCAGGGCAGGCGACACTGGCATCTCACAGACTCGTCTCAGACTTTCCCTCCCGCCTGCACGCCCTCTCATCTCTCCTCCACCTGCCTTGATCGTTTCCGCCTCTCTCTGTCCTTCGGAGCCTCCCGGGCTCTCGCCGACGACTGGTTCTGGCAGGAGGCTCAGCCGATGCATGCCGTTGTCCTCTGTAGGTTCTGTAAATAGAGACAGCCGTTCTCAGTGCAATGTTTGCAGGGTACTTCTCAAACTGTAGAGGGAGCGGACACGTCAGCTCCTTTGGACATGGAAAATGTTTCAAACTTTGAGTTGAGAGTCTTCGGGGGAGCCTAGTGGTTAGTGTTGTCACTGTCGAAATCTAAAAAGCAGGCAGGATCCTTTAGTCTTGGCTGCAGCGCTCCCGGCATGCCCAGTGCTCCTTGAAGATGTCTTCGTTGGGACTTCTGTCTTTTCTTTTTTTTGCACTTCTGACGCTGGGTATCTCTGGCTGCAGATTTGATGTGGTTCCTCCCTAAACTGTGCGTCCTGTTGTTAATAGGTACTGTACTGGGCTCCGTGTGTCACTGGGGTAGGACTATATTTTAATACTGTTCCTAACATTTCATTTTACTAGCAAGAAATCCTTGATTTCATTTTATCCTTTGTAATTCTAGACACTAGATGATAGTGTAGCCATACTGACATTTTTAAAAAAGGGATATATTTTCTTGCACAGTTGTTCAAAGAGAGACACGTCTGGGTCCTCAATGCTGCCCTTCGTTTTACAGGTACAAGTTTCTAGCTCAGACAGCCGAGACACGAGGCTGTCTCGAGTCTTACGCGCTCTCGGGGCGTTGCTCTGAGCTGCAGACAGTGGGACTGTGATGGTACAGTGTGCACAGGTACTGTTCCGACAGACTGGGATTTTCTGTAATGAAACCTTACTTTGTATCAAAAGCAAAACAGACTTTAGTACAATAAATAAAGGTCAATTTCTGTAACTTGTGATGAAGGCGCCTGTACTTACTGTTTCCCGTCTTTTCCTGCTTCTTCCTAAATTCCTTCGTCCCCGGCAGCAGGAACCAGCTGATGTGTGGGCTCTTTCCAGCTCCAGTGTAATCAGTAGCCCCTTTTCCTGCCGCATCAGCCTCTCTCTGACTCCCTCCTCCCCTCCCATGCGACCATCCGTGCGTCCTTCCATCCGCCCATCTGTCCAGCACAGCGTGGGTGCGGCTGCAACCAGGTGGCTGATTGCAAGACTCAGATCCTGCCCTCAGGTGCTTACATTCAGGTCTGCAGGTTTGGGCCCTGGAAAGCAAAGGGGAAGGGACCCCATAATGTTCCCAGTCAAGGCCTTGTCTGCAGGAGGAAGGCCCAGCCTGGAGTGAGGGGGGCAGCCTGGCGGGGCTGTGACAATGCCCCCAGCACTGCAGGGCTCTCTGGAGCAGTCTGTGTTCCAGGGGCGGGGAGGCTGGGAGAAGTAGCCAGGATGCCAGGGCTGCCACAGTAAAGGCTCCGAGGCCTGGGGCACTGAGGAGCCCTCCTCTTCTCTTGTGTGGAGGAGCTTGGGGGCCTGGAAAAGCCTCTTGCTGCTGTGGGGACAGGCCAACCGCTGGTCCTTTCTTGCAGGTTCCATCGTGGACCTGCACTCAGCCTCACCTGTGGTCCGCTGGCTGGGACCCAGGGCACAGCCCTACCCACATGCATCCAGCCACAGACGCAGCGCCGTTCTCAGGGGGCAGTTGCTGCGACAATTTTGTCACCTACAGGGTAAATGTATGCAGGGAACGCTGCTTGTTTCAGGAATGGGTTCTTTTAAAGAGCTCAGTCATGTTGCCCAAACCTTAACAGTTTGCACTTGGGGCATTATTGCTGGAGGCTAATTCCAGCATGTCATAATAAATGCAAGGAGTTCATCAAAAGGTTGATGGAACTTGAGGCTTCAGCAGGGCTGAATCATATTACCTGCTGCTGGAATAGCTGAAAGCATTTCCCCAGACCTGAAGATCTGCACATATGATAGCCTGCTGACTGACAGCTGAGGGCAGTTCCCCCAACCTGATCATCTGTTTACCAAACTTTACCTTTGATATGTATATCTGCTTTGCTAGAGGACAAAATGTGGGAATAAAAAGCCCTGGGTGCAGAGATTCGAGGAACTTAGTTACTAAAGCTAAGCTTCCTCTGGCTCCCCCAAAATGTCTTCCAAATTTATATTTCATGTCTAGTGTCTAGTCTCTATTAATTTACTCGCAGTCCCTTCAGATTCCTGAATCCTTCTAGATGCTTGAGAACGACCCCGGCACATTATGAGTAATTTTATTTCCTTTAGATGTATTTTCCAAATTTTCTATGGGAAACTTGGTTTTCTTTTATAATTACAAGGCAAAATTCATTCCACCTTTTAAAAATGGAGGGAGGGCCAGTCAAGTTGCTGAGCCCACACACTTTGGGGATGCTCCAAGGCCGTGCAGGGCAGCCTGGGCACACTGCCAGCAGCCCTGGGAGGGGATTCCTGCTCTGCTCTGAGCCACTGAGACCAGGTGGGGGTGGGGTGGGGGGCACTGTTCCCTGAGTCTCCCCCAGTTCGGTGCCTGTCACATGCAGGCTCAGGTCTTTCTGGAAAGGCAGAGCTGACAGCTCCAGCCATGAGGCCTTGGTCGGTTGCTCCTGGCCTCGGTGTCCGGGCCTTCAAAGACAGCACAGACTGGGTGATCTCCAAGGCCCCTTCTTGTGCTGACGCCTGTGCCAACCTCCCCGAGCCCTGCAGAGGCTGAGCAAACCCCAGTTCCAGAAGCTCTGATGCACGAGGCTTGCGGGAGGCTGGGGGGGAGCTTGAGGCCGGATGCTTAGGAACAGAAACGGAAGGAGTCTGGGTTAGGAGCTAAGCACTGCCCAAAGCCTCGAGCCTCTTCTTGGCTGAGAAAAAGCTCTGAGGCTGAGCAGAGTGGCCAACTGAAGTTTGGTGCTAGGAAGCTGAGCTTCTGCTCGCAGTGAGTTGACAGGGTGGAGGGCCACCTGGGTCACGGATGCCAACCGAGGAAGCACAGGGTGGGGCTCAGAGGCAGCGGAACTCCCCCTGGGGAAGCTGGGCTGGCCTGGGAGTGACCGTCCTGTTGCAGGGGAAAGGCTCCGAGTCTGGGCCTTGGGCAGCTGGCCTTCTCTGAGACTCCCTTCTCCTGGGAGTCTAGCCTGTGAGTGTCCTCGCTGTCCCTTCCTGTGCTCTCCTCTGCTCACGCCTTCTGGAACATGGTCTCCAGCCTCTCAGTGTTGCCCCTGCAGTTCTTGCTATTACGAGTTTATGTGTGTTTTAACCTGTGAAATGTGTCACACATACAGAAGGACATCTATAGTATAAATGTATGTTCCAAAGAATAAGATGGATGTTGTCTTTAAGGAGCACAACACTACCTTAGAAAGCCACCTTATGCTCAGCCCAGTTGAATTCTCCCATTTTCCACCAAGTAGTTGCTTACTGACTTGTGGTTTATTGATGTCTTTGTTTCCTGTTTTTACCCCCCACTGGAGATATCTTGAAACAGTTCAGTTTTGAAAACACCAGGCATCAAGCACAAATTTAGCCACGTGGGGGAAGAACTCCTTTGCCCCTTTAGATGAAATTGGCCAGAAAAAGGAGTGCGACCTGTGGGTCAGAGTGAAGCTCAGCCTCCCTAGGAGTTTATAAGAGCCCCTCTGGGGGTCAGTGAGCAAGGACTTGTAGGAGTCCTGGGACCAGGGGGCGTCACACATGAGTTCAGGTGGCAGCGCTCTCCAAGGACCAGGGCCTCACTGTCTGGCAGAAGTTCGGTCAGTGGAGGGAGAGCTTAAATATGGAATTCAGGAAGGCCTGTGAAACAGATTTCCTCCGTTCCAAATTCCAGGGCTACTCCATTTCCTTCAACTTGGCACAAGCTGGGAAGCTTTCTCACGAAAATTGTAAGACAGGATTTCAGAACTAGGGGCTGGGCCCCTCTCCAGCCAGACAGCTCTGCTCCGCCCTGCTCCTGTGCTGGTCTGCTCCGCTCTGCTCTGGGCGGACAGCTTCAGTGTTGCAGTGTTTCAGCTCAACTAGGGAGGCTAGTCTTCAGTCTTCAGAAAGGGCAAGTGCAGTTTCAGACCAGAGGGGACCTGACTTAGATAGACAGGAAAACCCACTCCTGATCCCTGATTGGCCCATCCTCATGCAAATGAGAACTCAAATTCCTTGTAGTTTGCTCCAAAAGGCACTGACTGTCCTGATTGAAGCTGCTCTGATTGGTCAGTGAAGAAGCTGATGGGGATATAGCTGTGCAGCTCTGATTGGATGGGGGAAACCTCAGTCCTATTGGTTGAAATAGGATTCCAGGAACCCCTTAGTAAGGCTGGCTCATATGGCAGAAACACAGTGCAGGGGGTGGTAGTTCTGTGCACCCTCCTCTCCGAGGGGCAGGTGGCGTGAGAGGCCCGTGTAGAAATGCCTGCTAGGCTGTTTTTTACATTTGAGCCCAGTTAGCCAGCGGGAGCCCTTCTTGTAGGCACCTTCTCTCTCAGGGTCCACAGTGATAAAGACGAGATGAGCAGTGCTGCTCTGCACGTGGCCTGCAAGAGTAACTCCTGTGTGTAACTGTCCAAGCAGCCAGGAAAGAAAATGCCAGTTTACCTCCAACAATGAAAGCAGGGCGGCTCGGATTCGGCCCGACAAGGCCAGCAAGAGGAATGGGCCTCTGTTCTGCTGGACCGTGGGGGTCGGAATGCACTGGACATCGATGGCATCGCTGCTCTCCACTGTGCTGCCATGGGTCCACCTGCTTTCGGCTTCTAAAATAACTTCGCAGTTGTTGCCTCTCTGCTCTCCCCTTATTTCTAGATTGATGTATTTTTAAAAGAAATCCTCTTCCTATATTTACTTTTTATTATTATTGATTTCAGAGATGGGAAGGGAGAAGGAGAGAGAGATAGAAACATCAATGAGAGAGAAACATTGACCTGCTGCCTTCTGCATGCCCCCACACTGGGGATCGAGCCCGCAACCCAGGCATGTGCCCTGACCGGGAATCGAACAGGCGACCTCTGGGTGCATGAGTTAATGCTCCGCCACTGAGCTACACTGGCCGGGCTATTTACTTTGTTTTAATAGAGGAACAAAATTAAGTTTATTTATCAACCTGCCTTTTAAACCCAGAAGTAAGGCTTCTACCTTTTCATTTTCCTTTACTAGTATGTTACTCTCTGTGGGGCCTGGAAGGGCCTAGGATGCATACCTCATTCCTTTCAGGCGCCTCCCCTTCCAGTTTGTGGGTGTCAGTCAGGCTTCAACAAGAGAGGCAGAACCAGTACAGAATATACGTAAATGTACATATTTATTACAAGCAATTTGCTTATGGATTGTGGGTGCTGGCTAAGCAAGCCTGAAACCCACAGGGCCAGTGGTCAGAACGGAAGACCACAGGCAGGTGGAACTCACAGGCAAGGTTTTCTGAGGCAGACCAGAGGGGCAGAGTGTGAGCAGGATGGGTTTCACAGGAACGGGTGAGACTGCTGTTCACAGGCGCAATTTCTTTTTTTTCACGGAAGCTTCAGCTTTTAAGGCTTCTGCGTCTGATGCCTTTCAACTGATTGAACCAGGCCCACCTACGTTATCCAGGATGCTCCCTGAGATTATCGTAATGTCTCATTAGGGGCTCTTATTGCATCTGCTGAATCCCTTGACAGCAACACCTAGCGTAGCGTCTAATTCCGTACTGGGGACTGCAGCCTAGCCGAGTTGACACAAGAAAACAAAAAAACAGCCAATAAATTAATTAACCAGTTCTCAGCAGATGGCCATTTGGATGAAGTTTGTAGTTGTGTTTATAGACTTATTTAACTTTATAGAAACTTCTATGTGGAGATTATAGTTTACAGATAAAGACATTGAGGCTTTACGCCGTTAGAGTAAATTGCCTGAGTCCTCCACCCCCACCCCCTTTTTTGCCATTTACCTTTAGGATTGTCAACATAAGAAACATTCAAACCCATAGAGAATTTTTGTGAATTTATTTGACCCAAATTGTCGACAATTGCCGGGAAGCAAAATGTCAACAGATTGAGATATTGCTCCAAAGAATGGCAAGTTTGCACCTTGTTTTATACATCACACTCAAAAGAGGAGATGCAAGCGGTTGCATGAAATCCACTGGTGATAGATGAGGGAAATGGGAGAAAGCAAAGCGGGGAAGCCTCTGGGATTGGATGGAAAGTAAAATGATAGACACATCTTTTACATACTAGTAGGTGGGTGTGGGATAGTTAACAGTCAACAATTAACTCAATAACAATGAGGGGATTTGTGGTCTCCACAGAGTGGTGTCTGGCTTTGAGGGGTCCGGAAAAAGGAAAATTACTTTGACATTCCAAAGATATGTTATTACAGATGCAAAAAGACATTAGACAGGTTCACTTAAGGTAAAGATTGACCTTTGTCCGGGAAGATGCCAGCGTAGGACATGACTACCTGCTATAACCTGCTTTTAGTTAAAAAGTTTTAATTTCAGACCATCCTTGTGGTTACTTTAGGTCTCTGAGTTTGCAAGGCCACCACACAGGCCTTCCCTGAGCTTGTCAGGTTAGCATGTGTCCCCTTTTTGTCCATACGTATCCCTTTTGGCCATAAATCAATTCAAAGGATGCAATGATGATCAACCTTTTGGTTGGATAACCAGGTCCCACAGTGCTAGGAAGGCTCATTCCTAGGAAATCTCAGTGTTAGTGTTTGTCTTGCTGAGCAATGGATCACTGGGGATGGGGCAAGACCATAACATTGGATGGAAGTCAAGGCCAAATTTTTTTTCCTCCAAAGTGAATGGCAGGTAAATGGGAGGCAGTTAGGTCTTATGGGTCTTTATTAAGAAAAACATTCTCAGTGGTTCTCAACCTTCCTAATGCCGCAACCCTTTAATACAGTTCCTCATGTTGCGACCCCCAGCCATAAAATTATTTTTGTTGCTACTTCATAACTGTAATTTTGCTACTGTTATGAATCGTAATGTAAATATCTGATATGCAGGATGTATTTTCATTGTTCGCGACCCACAGATTGAGAACCGCTGCTAGATTATTTCTAATCTACAAGCTATTGTGATCCAGGTTTTGTTACCTGTCTCACTTTTATATATTTTGCATCTAATATAACATTCACTTATAGTTTTGAGGGCATAACACATACCTTTTTAGTTTTTATAATCTGACCATGAG